CGCGTTAAATCTTCACATCAGCACGGTGAGGTAGGCAGGAATTACAAACCCCGCTTTACAGAGGAGAAAACCGGGGCTCAGAGAGAAGGGAATCCTCCAGAATCACACTGCTGGCAAGTGGAGAGCCAGGATAACTGGGTTCCATTTTCATGACTCCCTGGATCTCCGAACCTCCTTCCAGGCACCAGGTTGCAATCCCCAGGAAGACACTTGAGGAATGGTCGGGAATCTGCAGTGAGCCCAGGGCTGGGCAGCCAATGGTATAAGTCACCAGTCCTCCAGCATGGAGGGAGGATCCAGGTCTCCAGGCCCAGAGATTGGTCACCTTTAGGGCATAGCCCACCATCCCCTCCCCACCAGGTGTCCTGCTGCACTCAACACGCTTTGTGAATTTTGACAAGTGCCCCACTGAAGAATCCAGGGCACCTTCGAATGGAAGTGGGGAGACAGCTGTATCTACAGAGCCCCCTCCCCGTCCTCCAGGTTGCCACACACACTGCCCAGGAGCAGACAGTCCCCTTTGGAACCTGGCACTGGGTCCTGGACCTTCTCTCCCATGCATGCCCAGAGTCACTCTGAGCCAGCCCCCGAACTGGAGTTGCTGCCAGGGGCTCCTACAGTCCCTCCCCACAGCAGGTGCCCTCTCTCCCAGAATCCACCTCTATCCCCAGTGGATTCAACTCCCTCCCCACCACCCCATCCCAACCTTGGCTGTTAGGCAAGGTTCCCCAGGTCTTTCTTTCTGGCTTCAAGAACTCTTATACATACTTCAAAGCCCCAAAACCCCACCTCCTCCGGGATGTCTTTGTCTTTCCTGAACATACACTCACTACGCCCCTACACACTAGTTCCTCTTTCTCAACACAACATAAATATCGCAAAGTCACACAGATACACACACACACACTTTCACCACACTCTCTCTCAAACTGGGCTACATACACAGTTATACCAAATCACAGCCCCGCCCCTCTTGTGTGTGCACATACACATGCACACACTACACCACACAGACGCAGAGATTTGGTCTCCACTTGTTTACAAGAGGGACACAAAGTATCTTCCTACCACACCAACATGCCTGTACCACAGGCCCCGGAATGTACAGATGACACACCATACAAATACACGGACACACATCTATTTCTGTTCCTCCTCCTTCACTCACGCACTTCTGCAACATACGCGTAGAGACAGTTTCTCTCCCGGACACAAACGCACAGGCACGGGGTGGGGGGCATCATTCCTTCTCTCTGCTTCCCTCGCCCCTCTCTCACTCTCACGCACACAAACACACACACGGAAGCGCGCAGTAACAGGCTCCAAATATAGTCAGTCTAGGTCTTTCCGTCACACATAAACACACAGGCACGCGGCACCCATCGCTCCCTGCTTTTCCTGTCTCCTTCTCTCCTCCCCGCTTACACACACACACACACACACACACGCGCACACAGCCCCCCCCGCCCCCCATAAACTCGAGCGCAGCTGCAGTGCCCTGGGTCACACTCCCGTGCAGGCGCCAGCAGGAGACAAAGGTCGCCGAGGCCGCGCGCCGGACACAGCTGAGCCGCTCCCCGGGCTCCGCCTGGCCCCGAAGCCGGTCTCGGGGAGGCGCGGACCCCGCACCCGCAGCCCGAGTCCCCGCCCGCCCCCGGGCCCGCCCGCAGCCCGCCGCGGCCCGGCGCGCACAGGGTTAAGGGGCGGGCACGGGGAGGCCTAGCCGGGCTGGGATTGGCTGCGCCCCGGCCCCGCGCCCCGCCATTGGCCGCCCGGCGGGCCCGCCTCCCGGGACGGGGCCGAGCCGCGCTCGCCCGCGGGGAGCCGAGCGCGCCGCCGGGCCAGCCAGCCGCGCCGGTCGGGGAGCGCGGCTGCAGCCGGGACCGGAGCCGGAGCCGGAGCGGGCCCGCAGCGGGGCCGGGGTGCAGCGCGCGAGCGATGGTGAGTGCCGGCCGGGCCAGCGGCGGCTCCCCGCGGCGGCGCCGGGCCGGGGGCGGGCCGGGGGCCTGGCGCCGGCTGCGGCTCTCAGGAGGCGTGCAGTCGGGGGCCGCGCGGGCCGGCTTCGCCTCGCCGGGCGGCGCCGCGCTCGGTTCCGGCGGGGGCGCGGAGCTTGGTTCTGGGCAGCTGGTCCGCGCCGGATTTGGAGGGCTCGGGGTGGCCGGTTCGGTTCGGGGACAGTTGGTTTGGTTCGGTTCGGGTCTGGGGCGTCCGGAAGTCCCTGGACCTGGCTGGGCTTGGAGACCCTGGGCATCTGGGCTGGGTCCCTACGGGAGTCGGGGACAAATCCGAAGCGGCTAGATCCAGCTGGACCTGAGTGTCCCGGGACGCCGAGGTCGGTCCGGGGCTGAGCTCGGCTTGGGGCGTCGTGGGTGGCCGCGCCCGCGCATTCAGAGGGCTAGACCGGGGCACTCTGGGACTGCCCATCCCGCTGTCGCCAAAGTGGGTGGAAGGCGAAGGCTGGGCAACCCAGAGACCAGGGGACACTTGGAGACCCTGTGCCCAGCGATCTGGTCTACCCAACGTCTCCCAGCGATGGGTCCTCAGAGGAGGGAGTCTGTGAGGCCGAGCACCGGCTGGGATAGGCAGTAGCAGCAGAAGGGCGCAGGGGAGGGGGATTTCATGGAGGGAGTTTCTGAAGCCCCGGGGGGGGGCGGGGGGGGGCGGGGAGAAACCCATTTTGTCCAGGCAGGGCTTGTTGGGGCTGTTTTAGGGAGAGGAGTTCTTTCTGGAAGGAAAGCCAAGACCTTTCAATCATCTCTCTGAACCTGGTGCTCTGCTCTCCATCAGGGGCACGGAGGCCACCTACTTCTCTTTGGTTTCTTTCGCCGTGGGCAGGTCCCTCCGATTCTTTCTCCTAGTCCTGTTCTGTGCTGTGAAGTGGGTACCGGTCACCACGTAGGGCCTGAGGAGGACATGTGCCCCCTTGCCCCCTCCACTTCTGCCAAGCCTGAGGGGACTCAGGTAGGGGCAGGATGGGGCCTCCTGTAGACCTGAAGAGTCCCCCAGTGACTCCCCAGGACCAACTCTTGCTCTGCCCAGAGCTGGGGTCCCCCTAGAACATCCCTCTCCTCTTTTCTTGCTCCACTAGTATCTGCCTCCCTCTGCACCACCACTTGCCTCACCAGAGTTACTCGGAAAGAGAACTTTCTCCTCCTTAAAAACCACCAAAGAGAGGTTGCCTTGCCTTGGTGACACATTTCAGAGCCTTAGAACCTGAGAAGGCTCCCAGCCTGCCAGGAAGACCCCAGGCTTCGGCATCAAACAGATTTGGGTTCAGTTTCCTGCTCCTCCACTTCTCCACAGGGACTTGGGTCGACTCACGTCATCACCTCTGAATATCAGTTTCCCCATCTGTGAAATGCGAAGGTAGGTCTTATCTTGCAGAGATGGCGTGGAGATTCAGTGAGATAACCCCGCCAGGGTGCTTTGCTCCATACAGCTTAGTTTCTTTTCTTGTACAGCCTTAAGCTCAAGTTGAGAAGTTCTGCCTGGCATCTAACCTATTTGCTAGTCTGGATGAAGGATTAAAGTTTATCATGTTGTGGGGAGAAGAAGAGGACAGTGATACAGAATCGCTCATTTGTTTCTCATTCAACAGGGTTTATTTATACTGACTATGTGCCAAGCCCTGTGCTAGGGGGGAAGACACTGCCTTAAACCGTAAAAACACCGTAAACACCGTGTGAAGGGAGCTTCTCCCACTTCCTAAAGGTCCACACGGATCCCTGGGCTAGGTGCATATCTTTGGGAGAAGTAGAGATATTATGCGGGGTGGGGGTGGGGGGGCTCCCTCCTGGCTGGACAGATGAGAGAACGCTTCACTCATGGCATCTGAATTGGAAAGGACATCCCAGGTAGGGAGACCTCTGTGAGCAGAGGTGTGAGAACCCAGGAAATGCTCTTGGAAAGGCCTGGCACCTGGCGTGAGAGAGCCCAGGAAGGAGAGGGAGTTGGCAGGGGACGTTGCTGGGGCCAGAGAGTGGAAGGCTTAGGCTGGCTGAGGAGCTGGAGCTCCGCGGAGGGTGGTTGACCCTGCACGTGTGGGTGGGGTGGGGGCTGACGTCAGGCCTCCTCCGCCCCTGTCATTTTGGTTTCCCCTAAACACTAGCCCCTGTGCTCATTCCTGAGGTGGGGGTGACTCATGGCGGCTGAACTGTTTATTCTTTGGATCTCCTGCTCCGTGGGTTTTAAACAAATCCAGCGTTCCTCGCCTCCAACGTGGCCAAGTTTCCCCCGGCCCCCGGCTTCCTAACGGGGCGCCTTTGGAGAGCGGTGTGGGCTGTTTCCTGTTGCCCTCGTGGCCTCTCCCTGATGGTCCCCAGCTCCCCACCCGGTCTCTAACTCCTTGGCGGGGATTCAGCGCTGTTCTTAAAGGCTTCAGGTGGACCCCTGACCCCAGTGCAGGCTGGGCATGAGGGTTCCCAGGAGGCTTTTTGTATCTCCTGTCCCCGGCTGTCCTCGTCATCCAGCCGCAGGCACAGAGATGAAGGAGCTTGCCCAGGTCCCATAGCGAGTGAGTGCTTGGGCGGGCGCAGACCTCCTGGATGTGTGAAGGGTTACCAGACAGGCTGGGGGGGAAGGATGCCCAATCCAGCGTTCCCAGTCTGCTGTCATGTGCCTCTAGAATGTTCCTTCACATTCCAAGCTAGGGACTGAGCTTAAAGCCATTGCAGAGGGCTGGGAGTCCTCTTTACTGGAAGTGGCTGAGTTGCGGACAGGGATCCAGCACCTAGGGTTGAATACTGGGTGCATTCCCAACTTGCTGTGTGACCTGGGGGCAGCTAGTGCCCCTCTCTGCACTTCCTTTCCTACCAAGTGGGACATGTTTGCTGGCTTCTCAGGAGGTCATGAGGATGCAGTCTAGGATACAATGTAAAAACGCTTCCCAAACTGTGAAGAACTCGAGGGCAACTGTTCTGTTGTTATTTGAAGATGCGAGGCCAGTCACATGCCTCCTGAGCCGATGTGTATGGGGTTCCCAGAGCGTGGCAGGTACCTTAGGACCTTTCCCGGTGTGGCCAGTGCCTGGGCTGGTAACCAGTTACTCGTGTTTTGTGTTTCCCTGCCTGGCTGCGATCTTTGGTAAACAAGGCATGTTGTTGACTTTTGTTAAGGAATAAATACATTGTTTCCCAAACAGTTGGAGAGACCAGGCCCTGTGAGGGGAGGAACAGGGTTTGAGAAGTGAAAGGCTGCAGGGTGGATTCCACAGGCATTAGCCACGACGTAGCCAGCTTGGCTAAAGTCCACGCTTTGATGTCTCCAGGGAGGGAGGAACCGTCAGCAGCTGTTTATGACTTTTTGTGTCTCAGTTTTTTCTTTTCAGTAAACTAGGTCAGCGCCCTTGCTGTCGTCAAAGGGCTTCATTCATTCATTCATTCCTTCACCAAACAAGTCTGGCTGGCACAACACAGGCGTTGGGGCTGTGGTCAGTGTGCATGGGACCCATAGGTCTCTCTTCCACAGGCTGGCGGACAGGCAGATCTGGAGCCGGAAATTACAAGTGCAAGTACTGTTACCAAGGAGACATCCAGGGTGCTGTGGAGCAGGTCGGGGAACCCGTCACGGGGGGTCAGAAAAAGCTCCCTGAGGACATGGCATTAGAGCTGTGGCCTAAAGAGTGAGTGGACCTGGCAGAGCCTTCCTGGCAGAGGGAGCAGCGTGCGCATGCCGGAATTAATTCATCTGGAGGCTCAGAAGACGATGCCTGGGAGGTGGCCAGGGGCAGGCGCACACGGGGAGTGTCATGTTAAAGATTTAGGGCTCCATCCTAAGGGCAGTGGGGAGCCACTCAGGAGTTCAGAGTGAGGGAGTGCCATAGTCAGATTTGCCTCTTGAGATGAACACATGGGCTAGTTTGTGGCAGATGGGTAGGAGGGGTGAGGCTAGAGGCTGGTGATCACTTAGGATGCAGGAGTGGCCCTTGAAATGATGTTGGTGGTCTGGACGCTAGTCACTGCCCCCTCCACCCCACCCCACTCCCGATCATGCTGCTCAGCATGGGCAGTGAAGAGAGGAGGAGGCTGTGGCCCTGGAGGTCCCACAAAGCCCCTTTCCCTGTGGACATTGACCTCCCCTCATCCTTACATGAGGGTAGCCATCAGGGCTCCCGGCCTCAAGGAACTTTGACCTAATAGAGGAAAAAGGTCGAGTACCCAAATGACTCTGAAACAAGGTAGAAAGTGAAAAGTGCCAACCTGAGGATGCAGCTCTAGTCACCCTGGCCGTGGGTGTGTATCAGGCAAGGCTTCCCAGAAGAGGTGGCAGTTGAGCTTCCTATGGTAACAGTTAGTGGAATGGAATGCTCTCTAGGAGCCAAGCTTTGGAAAGATGAAAATGAGGAGATGCTCTCCTGTTCTTAAAGAGTTATAGTCTTGGGGCAGAGTTTAGTGAACAACCAGCACTGACTGAACCCCACTGTCAGGGAGTGGCGCTGGGAGTCTGGGGCCTGGGAGTTCTGCCCTTTCCCTGGGACCCTGACGGCTAGGGTGGTGACGTATCTGCAGGCCTCCCTGATAAGCCCTGGAATGGCTCCCTCCGCCCCGCAGGGCTCGTGGGGGGTCCTCAGGGGAGAATGTAAACAGAGGAACAAGTTTCTAGAGAATGTTCAGGAAATTAGCTGAGGGAGGATCTAACTTCAGGGCCAGAGACAGGGAGGTGAGCCTGGCTGCTAATCTGCATAAAACCGCAGAGAGCTTGTGTTAAAAGAAGATTCGTCACCATCTCATTCAACTTCCCTCTTTTACAGGTGGGAAGACAAAATGAGTGTCTGCTGTGTGCCTGGCACTTAAATTGTAACCTCTCTGATCTTCACGCCAACCCCAGGAAGTAGGTCTCTCCCCATTACAGAGCTGTGAAAGCTGAGGCTCGAAGGTCCCTTAGGGAATTAGGGCCCGGAACTAGGCAGCGGCCTCCTGACTCCTCAAGATCCTGGCTGCCGTCCCAACCTGCCACTCAAGTTCGCAGAAACTCTGCCCTCCTGGGAAAGCCGCCTGGGGCCGTGGACGGGCCTACTGGGCAGTGGCCAGGGGCGTTAGAAGCTGATTGGGGCTGGATGTTGGCCAGGCTGAAATGTTGGTTATTTATCGTTCACCTTTGCACGGCACTTGACAGTTAGGGAAACCTTTTCCTCCCATTTACCAACTGTTCTTGGGTCCCACTGCCAGTCAGGGACAGAGGTAGGATTAAACCCAGGCCTGTGACTCCCAGCCCAGACCCCCAGCTCCAGGCATTGCCCCAGCAGCCCGAGCAGGCCTCCAGTGGCCCCCTGACTGGAGATGTCCCAGGCTCCCTGTGAGCATGAGGAGCGGCCCCTGGCCCAGAAGCCTCCTCTCCCCATCCTCCTCCCCGCAGGCTCCTTTGCCTCCTTGGCGGGGAAGGCGGCAGGGCGGCTGTGGGGCAGCAGCCGGGAGGAGTAGGGTTACGGTGTAAACACCCGAAATGTCAATATTTACCTCTGCCTGGAGCAGAGCCTCCTGCCTGCCTCCCACGCGCTGCCTGTCCAGGTACACGTGGCCTGCTCTGAGGCTCCGGGCTGGTCACTGAGAGCAAGGCTGAGGCAGGAGACCTAGGGTCCAGCCCAGGCTCTGCCACTGGCTTTTCGTGTGGCCCTGAGCAAGGTGCTCTCCCTTCCTGGGCCTCTGTTTTCCCATCTGTAAAATGACATGGCTGGAACAGACAGGGGCCTTTTCAGCGATGACATGTGGATTACAGGCATCGGTCTCTGGTTCAGAGCACGGACTGGCGGTTGGGCAGACCTGGGTTTGAATCCCAGCTCCACCACTTCCTCACTGTGAGACTGTGGACAAGTCACTTAACCCCTCTGAGCTTTGGTTTCTTCTTCTATAAAATGAGATCCTCATGGTACCTCTTTTGGAGGGTCAGTGGTGAGACTAATGAGATAACTCCTGACATAGCTCTTGACGCAGGATAAGGACTGAAAAAAAGGTAGTGGTGGTGGTGGTGGTGGTGGTGGTTGTTATTCCAGATAAACATTTTGTGATTCTCTGAATCCAGACACTGGGTTGCGTCAATATTGGGGACTGGAGCCAAGGGTGGGGACTCTAATCTCAGGACCTCCTGGTACTGTGGAGCCACAGGCTGGGCTGGTAAGAAAGCCCCTTGGTCAATACCACACATGTGCATGCACGCCCAGCTGCCCAGCCCCTGGGGTTCCTTCTGACTGGGCGGAGGCAGGGCTGAAATGACCTCAGAGATGTGTGACAGTGAGAGGGGTGAGGGGGGGCGGAGGAGGCGGAAGGGTAGGAAGGACGTATTTCCTAAGCAGTTATTTCACAGAAACTCCAAGTCCACGAGACCCAGGAGCTGCTCCCTCCAGCCTGGGAGAGGAGGGGGCGTGGAGTGGCGAGCTCGGGGTGGGGGTGGGGCAGGGAGATGGGGGCCGCCCGTGCAGCAGAAGTGGGCCTTGGGAGCCAGTGGGCCCAGGTTCAAACCCGGCTCCGTCGCTTTTTGCTGTGTCATTTTGGGCATTATGTCACTTCTCTGGAGCTTTGTTTTTCTCGTCTCTAACATGGAGGTATGGGGGCCTGTTTTGTACAGTCACTGGAAAAGTTTTATCAGATGCTGTTTCCGAAGGACCCAGCTGAGTGCTGGCACACACAGGGGGCTCAGGCACGATCAGCCTCTTTCTTAGCCTGGACCACGTGTCAGTCTTGGTGCTGCTAGTCTGTGCACTTCTTGAGGGCAAGATTGTGTGTTTTTAAAAGTTGCAATATAATTTACTTAAGATGTATATATCTTGTACCGCTTGATCTTTACAAATGTACAGTCCTGTGTAACCATCACCTGGATCAAAATGGAGAACATTTCCACCTCCCAGGAAGGTCCCGTGTGCCCCCTTCCCTCAGCCTCCCCTGCAGGCAGCCGCTGCCCTGCGCCCTGTCACTCTGGTGTTGCCTGGATTTTGAACTTGATCTGCATGAATTCCTGTGCTCCTGGGTCTGGTTTCCTTCAGCTCAGTCAACAGTGAGTAATGTTTGGTTTGTCCGTGTTGTTGCCTGCACCAGGCTCTGAACCCTTTTGAGGCTGCGTTTTGTCCCACTGGGTAGATGCCCGTGGGTGACGTCTGGGTGGATTCCAGTTTGGGCGACTGTGACTTTCCTGCGCGTGTATGTGGACCTGAATGCCCCTTTCTCTTGGGCGGGTCCCTGGATGTGGGTCAGAGGGTCGATGTGTGTTTACCTTGCACAGAAGCTGCCACACGGTCCTCCAAGACGGTGCTCCGTTTTCAGAGTGTTATTCACCTCTTTGCCCATGGGCCTGAGCCTAGACTAGGCTCTTGATGAATGTTTTTTGAAAGAAGGAAGGAATTTGAGCCCTTTCTTGGTCATAATGCTCCAGATCCACTCTGTGGGCCCTGCACCTGCCCTCAGGGTCTGACAGCTCTTGGGGGCACGCTGCCTGGACCCTCGGCTTTAGGTCTCACCTGGCATTTCTCGGGGCAGGGAGAGGGTCCTGGCCCTGGAGAGCCCATGCCATGAGGCTCTACCACTGATTGGCTATGTGACCTTAGGCAAGTCCTTTCCCCTCCCTGATCCTCGGTTTCCCCTTCTGCAAAACATCAGGTGGATTGAAGGTTTCCACCCTCCCCAGTTTCTGGTGGTCTCCCCTCACTGGGAGCCATTGCCCCCATTTGCTCTGCTCCTCCACCTCCCAGGTTGTGCCTGCCCCACTGGTGAGCCCCAGTTCTCTCGTGTCTCCGAGGAAGGACCATTTGGTGAAGTGGGTCAGCTCTTCATTCTTGGCACCCTCAAGAGCCTCACTGTGAGCCAGTCCTTCCTGGGTGAGAGCCCCTCAGAGTGAGCCCCTGGCCGTGCCAATCCCTAACCCCTGCCCCGTGGAGGCTTTGCTGAGACGGTGGCCCTGTGTTTGAATCCTGCCACCTCCTGGCTCTGTGACCCTGAGCAAGTCACTCCACTTTCCTGAGCTCCAGCATCCTCATCTGCAGCATTGTGATGATGAAACGAGGTCCTGCCTCTTTGTGGAGACAGAAGTGGGTGGGGTAGCAAAATCCCTGCCCTTGAGGAGACGCAGCCTGGGGGAGGGAGCCAGAGGCCACCCAGGCAAACTGACCAACTAGAAAGGTCACTGCAGAGGAAGGGAAGAAAATAAAGCAGAGTGATGTGGCTGCGAGGTGGAAAAGGGGCTCCTCTAGATGGGTGGGCAAGGAAGGAAGTGACGTCTGAGCTGAGACCTGAAGGCTGAGGAAGGGGAAGCTGGGCAAAGATGTGGGAGGGGAGAGTTCTGAGCAGAGGAGCAGCCGATGTGAAGGACCTGAGATGGGGCCAAGCGATTTGGCCCATTTTGGGTGACCAGAAGGCCAATGTGGCTGCACAGAGGGAGCAGGGGGAAGGGGTAGAGAAGGGCAGGCGTGCAGGGTCTTGTCAGGCAGGGTGGGGAAGGTGGTGTTTCGTTCTAAAAGCGATGGGAAGCCAGTGCAGGGCTCAAGTAGGGGGATGGCTGGTTTGGTTGATGTTTTAGAAACGCCCTGGCTGCTATGTGGAGGATGGACTGTAGGGGGCAGGAGTGAGGCAGGGAAGCCAGTGTCGGGTGACAGGTGATGGGGGCCTCAGTACATGCACCTGCCCTGAGGTCCGGGAGCTTATGTTTCTCCAGGATCCGGGCTTTTAGCAGCTACTTCAGAGGATGGGAGAGGGGGAGAGGGCATCCCACATGCCACAGGACGTTCCTGGCAGCAGAACACGGTGGGCAGAAGTTACCTTTGGAGCCAGACAGACTTGTCTTAAAACTTCCGCTTGAACTCAGCCTTCCAGAGTGAGCTCGGGATTCTCCCAGAATGACCACGTTCGCACCACCCCAAGTCCTGAGCATCCAGAGAGACGGGGCCAAAAGGACACAGGGCCAGAGCCTGCTTCCCCAACTTCCGCACACCCTGCCGAGAAGTGAGAGTGGAGGAAGTGATAGCCACAAGGGGTTGCCCAGCCCTGTGCCCTCTGAGCAGCTGCTCCCACGGCCCGGCAAGGGAATCCTGTGGCTTTGCGGTTCCTGGCTGTCCCGGGCTGATCTCAGGCAGGAAGTGGCCCTGAGAAGGTGGTACTTCTTTGGCCCGGAGTGTTGAGTGGGTGGTTCCTGGGCATCCTGCTGGGCTTCCGGGTGTGGTGGGTGGGCAGAGGGAGGAGAGGGCGTGGGAGTTTACAGAGTCACAGAAGATCTGAGTGGAAGCAGGACTTAGATGACATCTAGACTAGCCTTCTTGAGGGGAGACAAAGGCTCAGAAAGGGAAAGAGACTTGCCTGAGACCACACAGCAAATTAGAAGCGGGACTCGGATCCTGATCTCCGGGGCTGCTAGTGCTCTTTCTGGTTAAGATGTGCCTTTTGGGGCCAGACAGACCTGCGTTCTGCTGCTTAGTCTCAGTTGGGTGACCTTGGGCTGGTGACCATCTCTGAGCCTCACTGTTCTCCCCTGTGGCTTCGTCCTGTCCATGGGATGACAGCGACACCTTTCTTGTGGTGGTGGTATGAAGAATGGTTGAAATGATTCATGAAAAGCTGTGAAGCTTGTAGAACGGTGCCTGGGAGGTCCCCAGTAGACGGGAGCTATCGTTGCTGTTATTACTATGGTGGTTCTGTCCTTCACAGCCCCGTGAAGTACTGGAGGGAACAGCTGCGTGCTGGCCTTTACTCGTGCTGCTCCTAGTTCTGGTGGCTGCAGTTAGGGACGGGGGAGAGGACTTTCTCGTCAGACCAACCCACTGCTGCTGCTTTATTTTACTTCCCCATCATAGTAGGGAGACCCTTTAACCAGACCCTTCATTACCACCGCCCCTTAGCGCACGCATGCACACACATGTGCACACACACGCGAGCCCTTCTGCCTCCAGCCTGAATGGGGGCAGACAGGCACTACATGCAGGCCCAGGACGGGAGGCAGGGCGGCTCCCCACCTTCTGCATCAGGTCCCTGCCACCCTCCCACGGGTTCCTGAGTGTGCAGGGTGGCCTCTGGGTTAAGAGCAGAGGCCGTGGGATCAACCTGAATTTGAACCCTGGATCCACCACCTGTTGTAAAGGACCTTTCAGCAGGTACGTTTTCCTCTCTGAGCCTTGGGTTTCCCATCTGTCAAGTGGGATAACAGCCCTTCCGGGCTAGTCGCCAACATTAGATGAGAGAAGATACACTCAGAGCGTGTGGTGCATATTGGGTGCTTGACTCGAAGAGGTGGGTGTCACCAATGACGACATTGCCGTCCCAAACCCGCTGGGCCTCGTCCTCTTTCCACAGCTGTTCTCAGAAACTTTCTTGACCGTCCCCCGCCCATCCATCATGCGTTCCCCCAGCCCCTCCCTCCGGACCCCAGACTGCCTTCTCCCGGGGCACAAGTCACCCTGGACGAAATTTCCCGCTCTGTCTCATCCCCCTGCACTAACACAAGTTGTCGAGACCGTATTGAGCCCTGAGGCCAGGCTTCCCTGGGTTTGAATCCCGGCTCTGCCATTTGCTTGTACAACCTCAGGCAAACTGCTTAATTCTGTTTCTGCCAAAGAAAAATGGGAATAATAATAGTATCAAACTCATAGAGTTGTTTAAACCGGCCATACAATTCCTGTGAAGGGCCAGGACCCACACCCAGCATACAGCGAGTGCCTGGGAACTGCTAACTGGTGTTACTAGGTGGAGTCTCCCGGAGCAGAGCTGCCGCCCGCCCGTGTCTGTCTTCCCAGCACCTGGAAAGGACGGACTTGGAAGGGCTTTGCCCCGGAGGCAAGTTGCTTTACCGGTGAAATGGGCCTCCCATGAAAGACCAAAGCCCAGGCCTCGGTCAAGGACTCGGGTCACGCTGTGAACTTGTTCATCTGGCAGACGTAGGGCTGTGATTTGAGTTCTTGGTCCCCCGGGGGAACCTGGGCCACGTGGCTCGGGGAGAACTGGAAAGTGACCTGCGCAGGGCTGTGCAGCTTGCTTCAGAGACGACTTCTGGGGTTGGTGACACCTGATGACTCCTGGGGGGAAATGACACAGCATTAACTTCCGGCCACATTGGGGTTTCATTCAATAATCCTTTTGTTCTTTCCTGCCAGTCGTAGTTACGAGGCTTAGCTGTTATGTAATAATAATGGTGTTTATTGAGTGTTTGCTGTGTGCCAGGCACAGTGCTAAAGGTTTTATGTTATAAATTCATGTATTCCGCACATCAACCCTGTCAGGTGTTTTTTATTATCCCCATTTTATAGGGGAAACTGAGTCACAGAGCATTTCAGTCAGTAAGTGGCAGAGCAGGATTTGAACCCCAGGCGGTTTGGCCAGAGCGCCGAGTTCATCACCGCTACGCTCTGGTGCTTCCTCTGTCACCAGCTTTCCCCACAGTCCTGGTGACAGGCTGCCTCGTGGCCTCTGAGCACTGCC